TGCTTGCTTGAAGTAAATGAAAGAATAGGAAGCCTCAACAAAGAAACGGGAGATGGAAAGAAAAATCACATGGACATTTTAGAATTGAAAAATCAATAATTACCAGAGATAGAGAAGGACATTCTATAACCATGAATGGGTAAACCCATCAAGAAGACATAGTGGGGGTGCCTGGGTGGCTCAGTGGGTTAAAGCCTCTGCCTTCGGCTCAGGTCATGATCCCAGGGTCCTGGGACCGAGCCCCGCATCGGGCTCTCTGCTCAGCAGGGAGCCTGCTCCCCACCCCCCACCTGCCTCCCTGCCTACTTCTGCCTACTTGTGATTTCTGTCTGTCAAATAAATAAATAAATAAATCTTAAAAAAAAAAAAAAGAAGACATAGCAATACTAAATGGATTATGTTAAGACACAAATCAACCACAAAATACAAATACAAAATAAAAATCCAAAATAACCCCAAAATGTGTGATGCAAAAATTCATTAAAACTGAAAGGAGAAGCAGGGGTGGTCACCACAAATACAGGTGGTGACTTCAACATTCTTCTCTCAACAATTGATAAAACAGGTAGAAAATCAACAAGGATAACAGGACTCAACAACGCCCTATGCCTACAGGATCTAATCAACATTTAAAGAACACTCCAACCCACAACAGCAGAATACATTTTCAGGTGCCCACAGAGCATTATACCAAAATAGATCATATCCCAGGCCATGACACAGTGAATACGGCAGCTTCCCCAACCACAATGGAATCAAACTAGAAATCTCACAACAGAGAGATTAACAGGAAAATCTCCAAATACCTGGAAACTAAGCAACATGTTTCTTTCTTTCCTGCCTTTTTTCTTTCCTTTCTTTTTCTTTCTTTTTTCTTTCTTTCTTTTTTTTTTTTTTTTTTAGAATTTTTATTTATTAGATAGGGAACATAAACAGGTGGAGTGGGAGAGGGAGAACCAGGCTCCCGCTGGGTAGGACTCCCCCCCCCAAATGCGGAACTCGATCCCACGGCCCCAGGGTCATAACCTGAGGCTAAGGTAACCGCTTAATGACTGAGCCACCCAGGAGCCCCAAAGCAACACATTTCTAAATAATTCATGGATCAAAGAGGAAATCTCAAGGGAAATTTTAAAAAAGATACACAGAGGGGCGCCTGGGTGGCTCAGTGGTTAAAGCCTCTGCCTTCAGCTCAGGTCACGATCTCAGGGTCCTGGGATCGAGTCCCGCATCGGGCTTTCTGCTCAGCAGGGAGCCTGCCTCCTCCTCTCTCTCTGCCTGCCTCTCTGCCTACTCGTGATCTGTCTGTCAAATAAAAAAAAAAAAAAAAAAAAAAAAAAAATCTTTAAAAAAAAAAAAAAGATACACAGAAATGAAAGTAAAAATACAACGTATCAAAATTTGGGGGACACAGCTACAGTCATGCTGAAAGGGGAAATTTATAGTAGTTAATACGCATGTTAGAAAAGGGGAAGATCTCAAATCAATAATCTAACTCTCACTTTAAGAACCTAGAAAACGAGGAGCAAAATAAAACCAAAGGAAGCAGAAGGATAAAGAGCAGAGTAGAAACCAATGAAATTGGAAAGAGAAAATAGAGAAAGATCAATGAAACAAAGCACTGGTTCTTTGAAAAGATAATAAAATTGACAAACTTCTGGCAAGACCGACAAGAGGGAAAGACAGACAAGAGGGATAATACAGGAACACCATAAACAACTTCACACATATAGTTGATAACTTAGACCAAATGGCGAATTCCTCAAAAACTACTACAGCTCACGTAATATGAGAAAAATTATTTAACCTTTGACCAGACTTACAACTTTTAAAAACTGAATTTGTCATTTAAAAACTCAAAAAGGAAAAAGAAAACAAATCCACAGGCCCAGAAGGTTTCACCGGGAACTTCTACCAACCATTTAAGGAATTAGCACCAATCCTACCCAACCTTCTAGAAAAAGGAGGAAATCTTTTCAACCTGTTTTATGAAGCTAATATTACCCTGATACCAAACCTACCAAAGACAATATGTAAATAAAAAAGCTACATACCAATTTCCTTCATGAACATAGATGCAAAAATCCTAAACAAAGATTATAAAATAAAATGTGGCAGCATGTAAAAAGAATTATACGCCATGAGAAAGCAGGGTTTATGCTAGGGATGGAAGGCTGACTCAATATTTGAAAATGAATCAGTGTAATTAATATTAATGGACTGAAGAAGAAAAATCAGATTGTCATCATCTTATCTTTCAGACTTCTAAACATTGAAGTGTTTGAGCACTCAGTCACTGGGCCTTTCTTTTTCTTTTTCTTCATTTATTTATTTGAGAGAGAGAGCTCACACGGGCATGTTTGCACGTATAAAAGCAGAGAGAAGGGGCAGAGGGAGAGGGAGAGAAGCAGGCTCCTTGCTGAGAAGGAAGCCCTACGTGGTGGTGGGGGGAGAAGCTCGATCCCAGGACCCTGGGATCAAGACCTGAGCCAGGCAGACGCTTAACCACCTGAGCCATCCAGGCACCCCAAACTCTCCTTTCTACAGCTATTTCCCCTTATGATGCCCACATTTATATGTTTAACTCTATCATGTCTCTTCCTTGAACTCCAGACCCATAAATCCAACTGCCTATGAGAGAAGCCTTTACCTGGATAGGTATTTCCACGTGGACACGTACAAACCTAAACTCCTGCTTTTACTCCCTAAACCAGCTCTTTCTGCAATTCAGAAAATGCACAGTCCCATTTTTATGGTTGCTCAGGCTGAAATCTTTGGGGCCACCTAGACTCATCTTTGTTTTACATCTCATACCTAATTTGTCAGCAAATACTGTCCTACCTCTTAAAGACAGAATCCTGGGATTCCTATTCCCGGAATCCAACCCCCTCTCACCACCTCAACCCTGGTCTGAATCATCCTTTCACCTGGGTTATTACAACAGCTGCTCAACTGCTCTTCCTGCTTCCACCCTTGAAGCCTTACTGTTCTCGGCCTAAGAGCCACAATGCTCCTCTTTTTCTCAAAAGCATTCAGTGAACTCTCATTTCATTCAGAGTATTATCCAAAATTCTTCCTATGGCTTACAAGTCCCCATGTGATGTGGTCCATGTTATGTGGTCCCTGGCTACTTTTCTGAGCTCATTTCCAGCCTTCTGGTTCCTATCACTCCAGCCTTATCATCCTTCTTGCTGTTCCTTAAAAATGCCAACAATGGTCTAACAATTGCATTTAGTTTTCCCTCTGCCTTGAACAACATTCTACCATATGGCATATGGCTTGTTCTCTCGTTTCTTTCAGGGATCTAATCAAATGTCACCCTATCAATGAGGCCTTTTCTAACCCGCCTATTTAATAGACTCCTATCCTCCCCCAAATGCATTCCTCATCCTCCTTGATTTTTATTCAAATTAGGTATCATTTTCTGACTTGTTTTATACGTGAATTTTTTTTTAAATCTACCTCCTCTTGTAGGAGGTAAGCTTCTGGGGACACAGATTCTTTTTGCTTAAAATAGTGCTTGAGATATAGTGCTCAAAAATTATTAGCTGAAAGAATCAATCTGTGGCTCAGAAGTCAGATCAGACATCATGGGATCAGACATCAGATAACCTTGATTTGACTCCTAGCTTTTCTATATCCAAGTGATATTGGACAGATTACTCACCCATGTTTTATGTTTTCTCATCTTTCAAATAGTGATAATAATCCTCATCACACAAAACTATTTTAAGGATTAAATAAAACAAAGTATGTAATGTGTTTAATACAGAGTGACTTGGTGTTAAGTATTCAGTATATGACAGTGCTACTTAATATAGAAACATGGTCAAGATTGGGACTCAAAGGCCCTAGGTTATAATTATGACTAGATATTGACTGTGTAATTTTAGGGCATTTACCTTTTTAATATTAATTCACTCCATCAGCTATGAATAAGGTGGTGGGATGAGAAAAATGCATAAGATGCAGTCCTTTCCCTCTAATCTTAGTTATGTGATCTTGGGTAGGTCACCTAACTTCTCTGTGCCATTTCCTCATTCGCCAAATGAGAATAACATAGTAACTACCTTATAGCTTTGTCATGAGGATTAAACGTGTTACTATGTGAAAACAATGTCTAGCCCTTAGAAATTGCTCACTATATTGGCTACGATGATGATTATGATGATTCTAGTCTGGAATAGGAGTCAAAGCATCTAGGCAAAGAACTACAATATGGTGCAGTGAGAGAAAAAAATAGTCATCAACTAGGAAAATGTCTCTTAACTGGAGTTTGCCCATAACTGGTAAATGCCATGATAATCGGGAAATTTTAAAACTGCTGTCTACAATAACCTAACTCCCTACCACCAACCCCAGAGCAGCTGGAAAGACAAATTTCTCTGATTTGATAACTGGAATTTAAAACTTTTTATTAAACATAGGTAAAAAGGTCGCAGTCTCAAACGGCGTTTTAAAGGAGGTCAAGGGAACAATTGACTTCCCTGCCCCAACCCTCAAAAAAGTTAACATATTGCTTAAATTTCAGAACGTTTAAATGGACTCCCCAGAGGGCAAGGGCAACATGTAACTCCCTGAACGAAGCAACCAAATTAAGGGCACAAAGGTGTGTTTTACGGCAGTGCTGTCACCGACTAAACGTCAGTACAGGATATTAAAGGGTGGTCCTGGAGGCTGAGTGGGAGCACACCAGGTGAGAAGGGGGTGGGGAGGGAGGCCTCACCTTTGGAGAAAAAACACAGCAAGAGCCAAGGCGTGAAAAGTGCACGTGGGTGGCTTGGCACAACCAAAAGGAAGCTTTGGCGGGCGGGGGATGGGCGGGGGGACAGCCAGAGAGCAGGACGTGTACAGAGAAGAGTGCGGACTGGGGCCTGCCAGATGAGGGAGAAAGCCCCCCCTCCCGTATATCCTGATCACTCAGCATCAGTGTCCCCTCGAGATTCCCCTCTAGGGGCTCCCGGTTGTTGGGTTCCCTCTTGCTCCCGCCACTCTTCCCTTACCTCGTTTTCCAGCCTTTCCCTCTCTCCCGCCTCCTCCACCCCGCCGGAAGTGGCGTGCTAACTAGCGCGCCGTACAGCGCCAGAAAGGTTCTGCCGGAGCGGGAGAAAGGGTTCCGGTGAGCCTCACTGCGCCTGCGTGCGGGCGCGAGCGGTCAAAGCGCCTTCCGGAGGCCGCCGAACTGCGCTTCCCTCCCGGTCTGTCCCTTTCGAAGTACCCTGAGCGAGATTCAGGGAGGCCACCGCCACTGGAGGGGCGTTTTCCTCTAGCTCTGACACCTCCCGGTGCCCAGCTACTCCGGCCCTTCCCCTTTGACCCTGCTCTCGGCGGGGTGAGAGGTCGGTGGCCATCTTGTGGCGGCGGCGCGGGCGACTGTTACTGCGGAGACCCATCCCCTCCCCCTCCTTACCCCCCTGGCAGTCTGTCAGTCTGTGAAGAGCCACGCAGGCAGTCAGGTGAGGCCCCGGCCTCGTGCCGTCGCTCTTCCCGCCGCACTGGGCGGCCCAGGCCGCTCCCTGCAGGGCCCCACCGCCGCCACCATGTCCTCCTTCTCCGAGTCGGCGTTGGAGAAGAAGCTCTCGGAGCTGAGCAACTCTCAACAGAGCGTGCAGACCCTGTCCTTGTGGCTCATCCACCACCGCAAGCACGCGGGACCCATCGTCTCTGTGTGGCACCGCGAGCTCCGCAAAGGTAAACACCCCCTGTCCAGCTCCTTGGGCCCTCCCCTGATTGACCTCTCCCCAGCCCATTCCCGAGGCTCCTCTAGCTTCTTAGTTGAAGCCTGCTTTCCAAGCCCGGGCCTCTGATTGCGCTTCTGAGGTTGGTGACAGTGTTATCCCCATTTCTCGGAAAAGGAAACTGAGGCCTGGGAAGGTTTAGGATACTTGTCTGAGGTTCCCAGACTCCCAGTTCAGCCAGCCCTTTTCCCAGCCCGCGGACTACTCCTGACACTTGTGACTGTTATTATCTGGACAGCTTTGCAGAGGGCATTGGCCCTAGACTGTTGTGTGCCAGGCACTTTGCTGGGCATTTGGAGTAAGACACAGAGGACTCTGGAGTAAGACTGCCTAGATCGAGTCCTGGCTTAGCCACTTATTTCGCTGAGTGATACTGGGCTGGTTTCTTCATCTCTCTGTGCTTCTGTTTTCTCATCTGTAAAACGAGACAAGGATGGCTGCCCCTTACAGAGCCTTTATTCTGTGCCAGTCACTATGCTAAGACCTTTATGAATATCCTCACATTTTAGTCCTCAGAATGGCTCTGTGAAGTGGGTACGGTTACCCCCCATTATGGAGAGGTTAAGGGGCCACGCTACCTAGACCTTACCTCTCAGGCTCCTCTTCTAGTGCATCTTTCATTGATTCGAGACCCTGCTTGGGATCTGACAGGCGTTCATTGAGCTCAGCCGGTTATGTGCCAGGTGCTGGGTTGGATGCTTGATAATACGTTGACTCCAGAGGCCATCTGCCTGGAATTTAAGCCTGGTGTTGCCATGCACTGACCCCAGCAGCCTAGCCTCTCTGACCCTCAGTTTCCTTACCTATAAAATGGAGGTGATGAAAACTGGTATTTACTGTGCCTTTAATTATGTGCCAGGTGCAGTACTGATATCTTTACATACATTGTCATTTTTTAAATTCTCAGAGTTCTCTGGAGTAGGAACTTTGCAGATGAGGAAAAACTGAGGCTCAAACAACTTGCTGTGGTAAGGAGTAAACAGGGTAATCCAAATACAAATGAACATCCCACATGGGGTCAAACACAGTATAGGCGCTTCATAAATAACGGTGAAATGGGACTACTGATTACTCAATGTGAGGCATGGTCTTTGCCTTCAAGTTGCTTACAGTCTGGTGGGGAAGGTAGGCACCTTCACAGCTGTTCCCCTAATGATTCCATAGCAGAAAGCTGAGGAAATGGAGATTAGAACCACTTTGGGCAGCCTCTGTGTCGTAGGCCCTTTATAATATAGGAAGTAACTTTACGTGTGTTTTCCACTATCTGTGAGATGGAGACTCCTACCTGGATGGTGAAGTGGTATTTTCATTGCCGTAGAGCTGGTGAGGCTAGACTACTACATCAGGCTGTCAGACACGAAAATCCAAGAATCTTTGAGGAGACCCGGTTCTAGCCTTCTAGCACAGACTCCCCTTTCCACAAGTATGTGCCATACTGAGATAGGGGTCCCTTCTGGGCAGTTGGGGAATAGAGCCTAGAGCCCACAAATCCTCCTCCTTGTACCCTATTTGAGTTATGGAAAATAACAATTCAGAGACTGCATTCATCTGTGAAGCTCCTTTAACCCTAATCTCATGATCCTAGTTTCCTGAAACCTTATGTTTTAAGGAGACCAGCATTATTATCTCCCCATTTTATAGATGAGAATGTAAAGATAAGGAGAGATTAAGTGCTTTGTTTAGGGTGTATGGCTGGAGTATCAGCCCAGCGTCCTCCAATGCCAAAATTTGTGCTTTCAAGTACCCAGTGCCTCAGTCCCCTTTAATAAGTGAAGGTGATTGTCTGACTCCAACCAACCCATAGCACTTTTGTTGATTAGAATTAATCACTGTATCCCACCCCATCCCACACTAATTTAGCATTTATTCATTCTTAGTAGTTCTGTTTTTTCACTAGATTTGTGTTTTGTGGGAGAAACTAAGTCTTCTTATTTCTTTGTAATGCCCATGGCATTTAGCATGGTACCTTTTAACACAGTTTAAAAATAGGTTAGGAGGGACGCCTGGGTGGCTCAGTTGGTTAAGCCGCTGCCTTCAGCTCGGGTCATGATCCCAGCATCCTGGGATCGAGTCCCACATCGGGCTCCTTGCTCAGCGGGAACCTGCTTCTCCCTCTGCCTCTGCTTGCCACTCTGTCTGCCTGTGCTCACTCTGACAAATAAATAAATAAAATCTTAAAAAAAAAAATAGGTTAGGAATATGATTGTGGTCTCCAGTGTCATTTTCATGGTTGAGTAGAGGATCCAAACAGCACTACGTACAGCTTTCTGTGAAATGTTTTATATCCACAATGCCCAGCAAGGTAGCCATTTGCTACGTGTGGCTGTTGAGCACTTGAAATGTGTGACTAAGGAACGAAAGTTTTATATAATTGTGTTAGTTCAAGTGTTCAATAGCCATATGTGGCTAGTGGCTACCATATTGGATAGTACCAAGGTAGAGATGCTCTTCCAAGCATCAGGATACAGCTTCCTAATAACCCAGGCCTCATTCATGAATAGAGAATGCTCCCACACAGAAGTGGAAAAATATTTTGTGCCATTATGTTCAAATTGACTAGCCCCTTAGATTCTGGCCCACCCTGAGTCTTTAGAAGTGGACATTTCTATCTGGTCAAGTCATTTCCCTAAGATGTTTACAGATTCTGTCTGAATCGCCTTCAAAATATTTACGGGGTTTATAGAAATTACTATTTTTTGCTTAAATGCTACTTTTATTCTTGATGGGTTACTGTCTTTCCACTAGGAATAATTCTTAATTTATCGCTTTGGGCTCTGTCCTAGGTAGAACTTCCTTTCTTTATTGTGAAGTTTGATGTAAAATGCTCCTTAGTGAGTATTTTTTAGTAATGTTTTTATATGTTGGCCTGAATGCAGATAAATAGCCCCCCTCCCAACTTTTTTAGATGTCAAAACCAGCTAAACAAGTTGAGTTTTTTGGTCAGCCAGTTATATAAATTTTGCCTAGTAACTATTCCATCCCATTTGGAATGGGCATAGATAGGGAGTGAAAGGATATACTGTGTCATATTGGAAAGACATCTGAATAAGTGAGTTGTCACCTGGGTCTAGAGTAGAGGGTGTGAGTATTTAAGTGCTCTGGGCTTTGTCTTATGACCTTTACACACATGGTACTCATGTTGGCTTCAGGATGCTGGATGTCGAGGGATAAATTTTGACTAAATCCCCATTGCAAAGTTTGAGGATGATGAAAATTAATTGGCATTGTAAATAGTGAAAACTTTGGCTCTCTGGCCTCTTGGCTATCATGTTTGCAGCACTGAAAAAAATGTATCATGTCTTAATTGTCGAAATTGACATTTTATACAATGGAGTCTGGGTTTTTAAACATGAAATATATGGCATTTGTAAAGCATCACTTAGTCAAATTACCTTTGTTGAAGTTCTGGTGTACTTTGGAAACTGTTAACTCATAACATCATGGACTTAGTAGTTTTACTTGTTGCAACATTCCAGACAAGGTTTACTTAAAAAAAAAGAAAAGCCTTTGCTATAAGATACCTTTGTAGCAATGGTAGAATATTGTAACTATTGACACTTTTGATCTGCTTTTGAATAATAATTAAAGTTGTTAAAGATTAAATATTACCGTCAGTCAGCTATGTAAACTAGGTTATTACCAGAAGGTTAATACAGCTCAAGATATCCATATTTAATTTTATGAATACTTTAAGTCATCATTTTAAACTATTACATGCTTTTAAAAATCTTGTTTTTAACTTGGGTTATTCTTCTGTAGCTACCTTTAAAAATGTCACATCTTATGCCTGCTGTGTCAGAATTTATACATGCTGTGTGCATATCAAAAGAAACAAGTGGTTTCTGAGAGGAATAGAGTTAAGGACTAGTTTTTCAGGTATGTAAAGGTTGATATAAGGCTTGCTTGAGTTTTTCAGGTATTTTAGCATTGGAGAAAACTTAGTGTTTTGGACTGTCTGATTGTATTCTTATTTATTTCTTTTAAAAGAAAACTGGGACCAAAAATGATAGTGATGTAACTTTATGGTTGAGAAGTTATGTGCATAGAAGCCAGGAAATTCAGTAATGTTCCCCCAAGCAACTGTAACTCAGACATAGTACATGAGGTTTTTATGGTTTAATATACGATGCCATACAGAGTAATAGGAAATACTACATTTAGTATGTATAAGAGAGAAGAATTATGGTTTCTGTGGGAGCCATAATTTTGCATATCCAGAATTCAGACATCTTTAAATTTTCAATAATAATGTAGCATTAATATATATTTGTATTTGAGATAAACATCCGTTGGTGC